CCCCCCCCGCTTCGGGCTGTGACCGCCTCCGACGCGGCCCCGCGGGGCGCGCTAGCTCACGCCCCGCTGGCCGGACTTCGCCCAGAGGTCCCGGAGGCGCGGGCTTCCCCGGATAGCACCATGGCATCCGCGTGTCTGAAAGAGAAGCCGCCCCTCCGCCCGCCTGGTGAGTAACGGAATCTACGGCCCTGCGAGCCGCCGCCTCCTGAAATTGGTCCGACAGAGGATGGCCCCCGCTGAGGCCATCCCGGTCCCCGCGAGCAGCGGTGGCACGGGGCTGGGCGAGGACCGGCGGCAGCCGGGAGGAGGGCCGTGCTGCGGGGTGGCAGAACAGCTGTGTGAGACGGCGCCGAGGAGGAGCGCGGTGCCCCAGGTTAGGTCCTACCTGTCTGTGGGCGTAGTGACGTTGGCGGGGCTGCTGGGCGATCTGGGAGCCGGCTGGGCACTGCTGCTGGACGAGGACAGCAGCACCAGTTCTGCCCACGCTTGGAGGCTGGCCTGGCTGACCTTCAAGTGTCCTCCCAGCCCAACTTCAATTTTGCAAGAAATGAACCAGCCCAGATCTCAGCTGTCATAAATCAAAGTCACTCCACTGAGAGCAGTGGAGGGAGCTGCATGTATTTAGCTCAGCAGAAGATCCGGGCTGGTACATTCTTAGTAGAGATATTGGGCAGGCTGGGGGTACTGGGCGGAGGCACCGGGCACAGAGCCACACATGTGGGGCACCGGAACCGAGGCAGTGCAGGGCTGCCCTGTGCACCTCACAGCTCCCTGCCCCATCCGTGCTGCAGCAATTAATCCAGGTCTCCCGTGGCCCTTTTTGGGGAAAAGTGGTTTGTGGCAGGCATTTCTGAATTGCTTGCAGCAGGTGTCTCACGTGGCAACGGGACCTGGGTAACATGGAGGCTCAACAGAATGCCCCTGGCTGGATCCAATGGGCATCTGGCTGAGTAGTCTTGAGGAGCAGGGTGCTGGTGAGTGTTCCCCTGCACACATACATCCACCCCCTGTCAGTGAAGGCTGTGGGCACCCTTAGGGCAGGCTCTGCTGAGCTGACAGCTTGTTGCTGCTCCATGGTGCTGGGCAAGCTCCTTGTGGCAAGGTGGAAATCGGAGTCCTGCAGCAACACGCTGCATTGCAGTGCAGGAAGGTGCTCCAGTTCTTCCTGCAGTGCTCTAAGCTCTCAGCCAGAGAAGGGATATCGAGGTGAGACAGTGAGTGTTTGGGTCCAGGAGATGTGTGTTTGGCCTTGAGAAGGAAATATGGGGCTCGGAGAGGCAGGGAAGGAGTAGGGCCCTGGGCAGGAGCGTGTGGGCTCAGAGAAGCGTGGCTGGTGCATGGATGAAGGAGAATTTGGGCCCAGAGATGTATTTGTGACTGGTAAAAGAGTAATAAGGCTCTGGAGTTGGAATATTTGGGGGTCAGAAGAGAAATGATTTTCTTAAGGAGTACTTGGGACCAAGAAGAGAGGCATGTGGGCCCTACATATGGGCTATCTTCAGTTCTTTCATTGCAGAACTGTTCCTGAAGCACTTTATTGCTGCTGGACCCTGCCCTGAGCCCCTGGCAGCAGCTGTGGGGCCCTTGCTGCCCACCAGGTGGGCGCCCATCAGGAACAGGGCTGTGCTGTGGGCACTGTGGGTGCCGGTGGCTGTGTTGTGCTGGCAGGGCTGTGCTCCCCCTGGGCCCGCTCCATGGTGACTCATGCCAGGCACGCTGGAGATGCTCATACAATACCAAATTTGATCATTATTCCTTAAGTGCAGACCGGTTCTCGAGTTGGAAATACATCTAAAGTAAAATTATTATCTCCGTGTTTCTTCAAGCCAAACTGAAATGTCACTTACAAAGTACACTAAAAAAATCCCCTGAGACATTAGGTCATTGGCAAGAAAATTAGCGTCACCTCAGTTGCCTCAGACATGGATGTATGCTCTTTGCTCTGCTTGCCGTTTGCTTGACGGTTGGGTTCCTGCTTTTCTCCTTGCAGGATGGGCATTCTCCAACCAATTGGGGTAGAAGGCTGCCATCAGTGGGGCACAGCCAAACTGCCCGCACTGTTGCTACGGGGAGGATCCCCCTCATGTAGCATCATGATAGTGCTTGAGCACTGGGAGAAAGCCCACCTTATGGCGTGGCTGGGAGCCTGGCATTGCTCATAAGCTGCCTTGTCCTGACAGTAAGGTCATGTACTGCTGATATAAAGACCAAAATCAGAAGTGGGGCTCGGTGAGGGAAGGGATGGCAGATCCTGCAGGTAGAGCGATTTTAGGAAGCAGACTGCAATCCCTGCATGCTAGTTTTAAGAAGCCAGGAAAGAGCCACAGCCATGGGTTGAGAACCTGCTGTGAGATTGAGATGTGGAAGGTCAAGGAGGTTTTGTAGGTGACCCCACAGCTGGAGCTTAGCACTAGATGGGAAAACTGAGTGCAGCTTGGAAGGAGGTTGTAGAGTCTCTGAGTGCTGGGTTCACTGCAGGAGGTGCCATGCAGCAGCTGTGGCAGGGAGAACAGCCCTTCAGTGGGGGCATCAAGGCCCAGAAGGATATGGGGAGATTTCAGTGATGTTGGTTGAGAAGAATGAAAAGGTCTTCAGAAGGTGGCTGGGCAGCTGCTTGCTTTGCAGGCAGTGATGAAGGAACGCTTGGGTTTTGTAACCTGTAGTCTGTGGCCAGAAAGGCAACCTTGGAGCTGCTGGGATGGGCTGGGACAGCGTTGCGCTCCCATGATTGCAGACTGAGTTTTCTCAGCCGTGACCTGCAGATGCAACTGGATTTATTTCTTGCTCCTGAAAAGAGGTAGTGCTGTCCTGGCTGAGGGCACAGCAGCTCTGTTTCAGCAGCCACTGCCTGGAGCTACCAGGCCCCACAATGGCCCAAGTTCTGTGCATCTCCCCTGAGACTCACAGTGCCAGCACTGTGATGGCCGCAGACACATCCAGCCACGGGTTTGTGCCCAGACACTTCCCCATCCCCCTAGGATGCCAAGAGCTCCCTGAGGCGTGGGGCAGCCTGTCCCTGCTGCACGGGGCTCCTGTGGGACAGCATGAGCTGCAGCCCAAAGGCAGTGAGGAACAGCTTTGTCCTTAGTGGGAGGAGTGGAGCCTCTGGAGATTGGCCTGGGTAATTGGCTCAGGAGAGGAGGCCTTCTTAAAAATCAATTAGAGACTTAAAAATAAATCAGACTGGAACAGTGTGAGGTCTGCCAGAAAATTTGGGCGAGGTCAGAATTGCTTAACATTCGTTGTTGATTAGATTCAGCTTACTTTTTGTTGGGATAATTTGTGTGCCGCTGAGTCAGAGTGCTAGAGGCAGCCAAGAGTGCGCTCCCAGCATGGCCATGTAAGGCAGCGGGGCTGAGAGCTGAGGAGCAGCCCCAGCGCACCATGCTGTGCCGGAGGCTGGGGGGTTCTCCTTCATCTTTGCTCTCTGCGCCTCGCTTCTTCCCTCTGTGAAGCGCTTTGAGGTTTGTGGATGGGAAAAGCCAAGTGCAGGAATTATGGTCTTCTTGTTTGGGGCAGAAACCGCACCCAGGAGCAGCACAAGGAGCTTGCCTGGGTTAAAAGAGGCGTACCAATACAGAGTACAGTGTGCGCACATTTCCGCTCCACGTCTTGCTGCAGCTGGCCTTGGCAGAGCCTGAGCCCGCACACGAAGTCTCGCAGCTCAGACAGCTGTCCTGTCTGACCATGGCCGGTTTGGACATGGCTTTGAGGGCCTTGGTCTCGTCACCTGCCTCTCTTCCAGCCACATCTCCAAGCCTTCCCTTTGCACTTAGCCCTGACCCCTGAGCACCTCTAACCAGTATGGCCCAGCAGAGCTGCTGGCCCCCAGAGCAGGGCGCAGACCTGCATCCCCTGAGAGGCTGAGCAAGCAGGGGACCTGTGGGCAAACTAACGTGGTGTGTCCCTTCCCGTTGCAGCGAGCACCCCCTGAGCCAGCTGGTTTCTGACTCGGACTCAGAGATGGACAGCATAGAGCAGCTGGCGCTGGGCAGCACCGACACGCTCTCCAATGGGCACAAGGCTGATCTGGAGGCTGCCAAACGTCTGGCCAAGCGGCTCTACAACCTGGATGGCTTTAAAAAAGCAGATGTGGCCCGCCACTTGGGGAAGAAGTACGTGTGGGTATTCACAAGGAATGGCCCATCCGGCATCATTTCTCCCTGCAACAACTCCAGCATACCCACAGCTGCTTCCCTTGAGGGCACTGGGCTATCAAGGAACCACTGGCAGGACCCCAAAGACCTGTCCCTGTGACAGTTTTTCTATACCAGGTGTTCCTCTAAAGGCAACATCCAGGTTTTGGTACCTTCCTACTCGCACTGCATCTCAGGCATTTTCAGCAAGGTGTTCAGCAGAGAACAGGGAACCAGCTAGCTGACATACTGAATATTCCCACTGGATCTGTGGGTGACCCCTCTGAGTTTCATGGGATGCTGGGGTGCCTCTGTCTCCAGCATGCTTCCCATAGCCCTGCCGTTATGTCTCCTGGGAGGTATCCAGCCCACCAGAATCCATTCTGTCCCTGTCTGCATTTTGATGTCCTCCCAGCCTGGTCGATTCCACTCTCACTCCCCCCTTTTTCTTTCAGCAACGAATTCAGCAAGATGGTGGCAGGGGAATATCTGAAGTTCTTCGTGTTCACAGGGATGAGCCTGGACCAGGCCCTCAGGTCAGACAGTCTGAGTGCAGCCATGTGCATGCGTCATGGCCACCTGAATGAGTCCCAGCAGATCATGCCCTCTGCAGCTGCTCACCCCCACAGAGATCTGCAGGAGCAGGCAGACCACACAGACTCGGGTCCCAAAGCAGTCTCTCAGCCACATAAGCACAAAGGATGATCCCTGGTCTTAGGTCCTCAGTCAGGCTCACCTAAGGCTGGGTTTCCGGGCCTTGAGTCCAAATCCAACTCATGCTGACCTAACCTCCTCCCCTGATGTAATTTCCAGAACCCGATGTGCCATCAGGGCTGGATGCTGTGGGTTGGATGCAGGGCCTTGTGTGGGGGCTGTGGGTGGGGACAGCCACAGCTCTGCCGCTGCACAGGGGGGTCAGAGAGACTGCTGCTGGGCTTCGTGTGCAACCAACGCTGCTGCTGCTGCTTCTTCAGGTCCTTCCTAAAGGAGCTGGCCCTGATGGGAGAGACACAGGAGCGAGAGCGAGTGCTGGCTCATTTTTCCCAGCGCTATTATGAGTGCAATCCCAATGCCATCTCCTCTGAGGGTAAGAAGCTCTGTGTGCATGTGAATGTGCATGTGGGAGTACGCGTGTTCGTTCAAGAGAGCACATGTTCTCATCAGCTCAATGGGAGTGCTCAAAATGAAAGTAGAATGCAGTCTGAGAGAGTGAACTGATGCCTTAGGAGTCAGCCCTGTTACACATTTCCCTCAAATGATAGACATTTTAGACTTCTTTTTAATAAAAAAAAAAAACAAACAAACCTGCTCCAGTTGCAAGATGCATAACTAGGGCTCAACACATCCTTAATTCTGACCTTGAGCAGATTAGCACACGAGGCGAGAGAAGGCCCTCCTGAGCACACAGAGCCCAGCTCAGACCCACGGCTCAGGGAAGAGCCAGGTGAGAAAGTGCTGCTGCCCAGCACCCAGGGCAGCACAGAGGAGCACCCAGCCTGCACTGTTTCACTTCAGTGTTATACGTCTTTGCGCTCCCCCTGTGTGTGTTCATGTGCTGAGTCTGCTCTGTTTTGGCTCTGGGCAGGTGAGGTTTTGGCTGGCTGGCTGGAAGAAGGCTGTGTTGCTCCACTGTGCCCATGCTAGGGGCTGGACAGTTAGCTGCAGCATCACTGCCTGGCTGAGGGGCTGCAGGGCTACATGCTCAATCTGGGCAGCGGCTTTAATCCAGCGGCCTCCTCTCTCCTCACCCGGGTGCTGCTAGCACCGTGTTGATGCTATGTGCCACTTGCTTAGCTGGGAGGAGTGGGCTTAGGACTGCCTTGGGCTCAGAACTTCCATCTGTGCCCAGGGGCTCTAATTCCTGCCCTGTGCTTGTGCTGCAGACGGAGCCCACACCCTGACCTGTGCCCTGATGTTGCTGAACACAGATCTGCATGGACACGTAAGTTCACCCTGCCTCCTGCCCCGTGTGTCCCCTGCCCTTTCTGCCCCACCTGCAGGTACCCCAGACAGAGCTGCATGTGCTGAAGATGTGAGACCTGCGGGGCTGAGCAGCCCCAGCATGTCTGGGGATGAGGGAGGAGAAAGACTGAATGAGAGAGGGAAATGGTGGAGAAGAGAACAGGGCTTTGAAGGAGATACACTGAGCTGGAAGGTACAGAGGGAGGTGAGGAAGGAAGAGGAAAGCAAACAGGGAGAGAGGGTGGGAGCGAGACCCCAAGCCTTGCTGGTGCTGGGAGCAATCACACCCAGTTTAGAGAAAAGAAGGTGCTTAAGGCCCCCAGTCTGAGCATGGAAGGCAACTTCCCATGCCTTCACGCAGCCTCTCCAAGCCCCAGGCTGTTCCAGCCAGCTGCTGTCCCCTTGCCCCAAGATGAACCTCATGTTTTTCTTCCCTGACTTCCCCAGAACATCGGAAAAAGAATGTCCTGTTCTGACTTCATTGGCAACTTGGAAGGGCTCAATGGAGGCACCGATTTCCCCAAGGAGCTGCTCAAGGTAAATTTGGTCCTCTCTCTAGCCAGCAGGCCACAGGAATAAGGGCAAGAGATTCGGGTGGGATCATATGGATGGCTCCATGGGACGCACTGAAGGTGTTCATCCTCATGCTTGTCAAGCTGCTGGAAAAGGCAGGGTTAGTAGTGTTCCCTTGACCCACAGCTTTCTCCCTGTGGAGCTGAGGTCAGGGGAAGGGGCAGCACACCTAAGAGTGAATGAGTGAATGTGCTTGGCCACCGCTGGGACCTGGTGCCAGCAGCCCAAGCTGGCCCCTTCCTGAGAGAGGAAGGAGGCCGGCCTCTTCCTCACAGGATTGCTGGGAGCCTCAGCCTCCAGGCAGCAGCTCTGGTCATGGGAGATGGCTTTCCATCCCCAGTGTCCCTCTTTCTTTTGGCTGTTTCTTGACCTCCCTGGCTAACGCAGGAGCAGCACAGCCCCACTGCTGCTTGCGGGGAGGAGCTGGCTGCTGGCTGCCTTGCAGTCCTGCAGCACAGAAGGGACAGCCTGACCTTGAGCTGATGCACGAGCAGAAGAAGTGGTGTTGACACAGGCTATGGGATCTGGGTGTGCTGGGGACCAGGTGCAGGGAGCAGCTGAGGTGGTTTGGGAATAGGGATCATCCCCATGGGGCCCACAGGGCAGAAACCATCGCTATCTGTGAGGCGCTGTGGTTGGAGAGTGCTGGGGCTGTGGGAAATGGGTTCCCAGAGGGCGCCAGCGCCATTCCTGTGGGAGGTGCCTTACGGAAAGAGGCAACATGGGGTAAAGAGCCGAGCTCTGTTTTCAGCCTTTGTGGGTCTATTCCTGGCTGTGCTGCTCACTCCATCATTAAGGGGTTACCAGCAGTGCTCAATAGGGCTGTCCTCCCTCCTGGCCCACGCTTCTCCTGTGAAAGGAGCTAGAAAAAATTCTTCCCTAATTTTAAACGCAGCTCCAGAAAAGGCATTTGCCAGAAGAGAAATGTCCAAAATGAAGACCCTGAACCTCTGCCCTCCCCCAGTGCTGCATTGTTCAGGAGCATCTCAACCCCACAGGTCCCTCTGCAGGCTCTTCCTGAAACTCTCAGCACCTTACAGCTGGATACCCTCAGTGCAGGTGCTGCAGCTCAGCTTCCACCCCAAAAGGTGCCCAAGCAGGCACGATTGCATTATCTCATCAGATCTCAGCCTGTGTGAGATAGGGCAGTAAGCACGTGCTGCAGCAGTCTGCTGTTGGTAGGTAGGGTCAAGCTCTTCACCTGGTGCAGGCAAGCATTGTGGGGCCAGGGCCTGCGGTGCTGCACCTGATGATGTGGGAGCACCTCCCTGCACATCGCTGCCTGCAGCAGGGAGGCTGAGCTGCTAAAAATGGACTATTCCCTCTGCAGCTGCGGAGCTTCCCACAGCCGCTTTTCAGACGCCTCTGTATCAGTGCCATGCTGAGGAGTGGGAGCAAAAGGCACCTCCAAGGTGGTGCGTCAGGGGCAGGCTGCAGCTTCTCCATCACTCCCGTGGGAGCCCTGGCCATGCACAGGGACATGGGGCAACGGGAATATGCAAAATGCTGGGCAGGGAGCTGGCACATAAAAGGCAGAGGGGCTGGGCCACTCCTGGGCAGCTTTTGCCAGGCTCAGTGGGAGAATATGCTCTCTCTGCCCACGGTAGGCTTTGGTTCCTTATTCCTGTTGCAGGGTTGGGCAGCAGAGAAATGAGGAAAGCGTATTTTCTCCCTGCGGTAGCCAGCACTAGTCCCATTAACCTACATAGGATGTTGCCTCCTCTACAAACCTGGGTCCCCCACCTGGGAACTGAAGCTTCTCTGCATGCACAGCTGGCCAGCTAATTTTAGTGCTGCAGGAGCACATGCATTTTCTAAGCACAGCAGGGGTAGGGAAGGACTAGCAGGCTTCAGAGGGGCTTATCAGAGCCCAGGGGCAGCTCATGGGCAGCTCCAGTAGCACAGAAAAAAGGTCTTGGGGCTCTTCCCAAGCCTGCCCAGGACAGGTGCTAATACACCAGGGAGCAGGGATGACTGTCACCCACAGCTGGAAGAAGGTTGGGAACAGGTGGGCAGCATTGAGCAGCAATGGCCCTCTGACTCTATGGGCAGCACCAGGAAGGGACATCAATGGGGGACTACATTTTCTCCCTCTCTGACTGCAGAAGTCCCAAGAGAAAGGCAGCAGGATGCCTGAGAGCAGGTGGCAGCTTGAGTCAGACACAAACTTTATCTGCTACAAGATAATGCGTGTAAACACTCAAGAGTTTCCTGCAAAAGAAACCAAAACACTTAAAGCTTGTGCTTTCATAGCTGTGCACCACATCCCCCTCACCAGAATGCCTCACTGTGCCCCTGCTGCTGAGCTAAGGCAGTGACGCTGTCCTGCTGGGCAAACACAGCTGCTGGAAACCATCTCCCTGACAACCTCTGTAGCTACGCTCCACAGACAGAGCCCAGCCTGCCTGGGTGTCCTCACCACCTGGGGATGTGGGAGCTCACAGTGCCATGCTTGGGGATGCCTATGCCTGCAGGCTGGGCTTGGACTGCAGCAGCCAAAGGAGCACAGGTGCCCAGCCAGCATGGAGAGAGGCAAACTGGTGTCCTAAGCAAGTGGCTTAGCCCTGGGACCCAGCCATCCTCTTGTAGGTGTGATTTCAGCCCAGTCCCCAGGTCTTCGTTCGCAACTGTTGGCTGTGCATCTCAGGCGTGGATTTGACTTTTACACAGCTGATCAGTTTGGGGAGCCTTAGATCTTCTGTATCTTTGTTCCACAGCTTAATTCTGTGCTTTGCTGAACCTTCAGACACAAAAGCAGTTCAGGCCCCCTCCTCCCCAGCACTGCTTAGCAGTCAGCCCTATCTGTGCTACTTTCCAGCTTAGGAACCCAGAGCACTTCACAGCTGTTAATGAATTAAACCCCAGCATGCAGGCAGCCCCATGGGAAGGGGGCAGAAGGGGCCCTGCTCCCAGCTGAGGGGCACAGTGCTCAGATCGTCTGCATGCTGGGTGAATGAGGAGCAGATGTGGGAAGCAGGGCTGGCTCACACCTCAGAACTGGGAACACAGCTGGACTTTCTCAGCCTGACTCCCCCGGTAGCACTCTACAGCCCACTGACCTGAGGATTCACTGCCCTGCTCCCATCCCAGAGCAGCCTGCTCTGCCCTGCAGGTTTGGCACGGCAGTCACCGTGCCGTGCAGTGACGACAGTGGAAAATTTCCCCTTCTCCTCTGGCCGCGTCTCCTCCTCAGTCACGCCTAGGCAGGTTGCGCATCGATCCTCATCTTGGCTCCAAGGATGATCGGCCCTTCGGTCCTGCACGGAGCGGCAGCGCCTTGCCTGCAGGGCAGCTCTGACTGCGCTCAGAGGACCGGACAGAGAGGTTAAGTGTAGGACGCGCACCTGAGGATGGGAGGGAGCGGGCGGGAGCACCCCAGCTCAGCGTCACCAGGGACAAGCTCGGTGCGCCCCAACAAGCGCAGCCCAGCTGCCTGATCCGCGGGCAACCTCCCCGCCCGCCTCACACCCCGGTAAGCTCCGTGGTACCTGTGCGGGCGTCCGGACGCACGGCTCCATACCGTCGCGCCCCGAGAGCAGCGTGCCGGCATCCCGGGGCGTCCAGCAGCAGAACCACTCGTAGCATCCGCTACCCCCGCTGCTGCCCCTCCGGGCCGGCCGCCTCCATTTTGAGCCGTGCAACGCGGGCCCGCCCCCCGGCACAGCCCCGCGCCCGGCTGGGCTCGGCTGGGCTCGGCCGGGCCCCGCTCCCCGCTCCCCGTTCCTCGCCGCGGGGCCGCCATTGGCTGCGGCGGGCGGGGCGGGGCGGGGAGCCGCCTCCCGCGGGCAGCAGCCGCCGAGCCCTGCCCGGCCCGGCCCGGCTTCAACAGGCGGCGGCGGCGGTGGCGGGGAGCGGGCCGCGGGCCGCGGGTGCGGGGG